TGTGTGTGTGTGTGTGTGTGTATATATATATAAATATATATATATATGTATGTGTGTGTGTGTGTGTATGTGTGCTAAAGGTATAAAGGTATAAACAGCATGTGGGTGTTGAATGTTGCAAATCTGACACTATAGAAGCAGAGGGAAATTTCCTGTCCAGTAAAATCCTTTCGTTCTGTTTACATTAGAGTTCTCTTAAATAACCTAATCTGTAGGTAATCTGCAGTGGATATAACCAACAAAAATATCTGCTTGCACTGGACCCTGGAATGACTGCACAATTCCACCGAGGCTTTCTACTAAGCAAGCAAGAAACCTTTAAATTAGCCAGTTCCAAAAGGACTCTCTGGACATGGTGGAGCTTGGAGAAAAGTAATTTCACTGGCAATTAGGGAAGCTGGGAACTCATCTCTGGCAAAACCCTGTTCAACTGAACGTCTCTCTGCTGGCACAGTTGTGGAGAGCGAAAGGAGAATGTTTTGTTTGATTCTGATGGTGACTGATGGCATTTCACCAAAGACCATAGTCAGTGAAGCCTGAAGTAATGTCCCTCCTTTCACTGGCCCACAGAGACAAGACCACATAACACTGACACAAACTGTTTACGGGATGGCACAAAAGCACAGTGACAGCTCTAGCAGTCTTTATGCATAAATTTTTTTCCTTACTACGCATTTCAGCTTCATAGCTGAGGGAGCTCGGCTTGTGGACCCGATACTGCTTCAGGAGCTTTTTGTCCCAGGCACCGCAATTCAGAGGATTCCCAAGTCGTAAAAATTCCCTGGAAAATACATAAAAACATTTCATAGAGACAGCAATAACCCACACAATTAGCAACTGCTTGCTTGCTCTTTGAGCATAATCAAAACGCATAAAAAAATCTAGACGACAACAACTGTAAATGACAAAAATAAACGTTAAATAAATGTAATTAATAAAATATATCATATAATTGTAATGATTGCAATAACAATAATAATTATATTTTTTATTTAAATAAAATTCTAAATAATAATTATTATTATTATAAATAATAATAACAAAATAATATGAATAAGAAGAATAAATTAATCACTTAAATAAATATGATGATGATTATATCTATATGTGAAAGGATTTTTCTAGAATGGACTGTTGCATGACATTTAAACAATAAAAGACAGATTTTGATTCCACAAATGAGCTGAAGTGAATTGCTGTATTTTTTTCTTCTTTATTTTGTAGTGAAGTAAGTCTGCATCCTCCACCACGTTAGACCAGCCATGCGGAAAATTGAAATTGCTAATCCATTTTGACTTGGAGACGACCCATGGAGAGCTTTCAATAATATTGAGATGTGTCAAATTCGATCATTATTCTTTTATTCAAACATGCAGCTGTGATAAGATCAGATCAGATCAGATCAGTAAAGACTGAATCATGCAGGAACCCCAGGAGCAAAACAGATTTTAACTGACTCTTAATCTGGTCTTTGTATAAACAAAAATCCATTCAAAAGAGCTCACATGTGGGAGACCAATCAATGAAAGTTTGGGGGGCAGAAAAATGTTCCTTTAAGATATTATTCATAAATATTTATCACTTAAATAAATATTGCTGAGGCTTTGAGATTTAATGGTCAAAGAGCTGGCCTTCTGACCTGTACTGGATCACATTTGTGTACTGTAATGTATACAGTGTATTTTAATATAATATAATTTTCTTGTCATATTTTATTTTGTTATTTTTATATATTTTCTAGTCTCTATTTAAGGCTTATTATATAAATAGAATTTTGTGAGCAAACTAGACTCACCTGAGCACCATAGGCTCTAGGGCCTGGGAAGCCAGTCGCTCAAACATCCTCTGCAGCGGTGGGTGGAGTGGGTGATCTTCGTCTCCCAAAGCGCAGCTACAGCGCTGAAGCAAGCGTGAGTGCAGACGTGCCTCACACAGGATCTGCTGGTTCCTCTCTGAATGCACCAGCAGCTGCAGGATGTTAGCAACTGCTAACTGCAGGTCCAGAGCATGCTGAGGAGCAGAGCAAAGGTAAAGTGAGCTGCAGGACACTTACAGTAGTACACTCAGCTCAGACAAACACTAAAAAAAAATCTGAAATTTAAAATTCACATTGCAGTGGCACAAGCCAAACATAGCGTGCTATTACTAGTCAAGTCTGAGGACAAATACCTAACCAATTAAACCAAGCTTCTTACAGGCCTGTTTTTAGGAAGGTACACCCCTAAAAGGAATGTTCTGGGTTATTACAAAATCATTTATGTCATCAGCATGCCACAGATGCTGTCGATTACACAGAATATCATTTAATCTGGTCCCAGTTTGTAGTAACAAACAAGTTTGTAAAAACAAAACAAAACGATGAAAAAGACACTGACAAATGTACTTATAGTGGAAGTCTATGAGCCAATATACTGCACTGCCTCACATTCTTCCATTGTTAAGCATGTAACTCTCCAGTTACTCTCTGTACCTCTCCCAGAGAGCAGATCGTGGTAATCATTTCTGTGGTAATCGTAGAAAACAACATAACAAAAATGCGGCTGATTGAGCTTAAATGAGAACATGCCTTTAAGTTTCACACAAAATGTCAAAAAGATTCATTCTCATAAAATCCTTCACTTTGACTTCTGACTGTAGGTGAAAAACAAAAATGATGCTAATCATAACAGTAACAAATCTTTAAATTGAAGACGTGTAAGCAAAGTTTTTTCAAAATAAAATAAATGTATTTATATAATTGCATAATAAGCCTTCATCCCACAACTATAGTGTATGTGTATGTGTATGTGTATATGTATAAATATATATATATATATATATATATACACTTATATACATACATATATTCACAAGTTACTGTCACTTTTGAGCAATTTAATGCATACTGACAAAATAAAAGAATAAATTTTTTTTAAATCTTACTGATCCCAAACTTTTGAACAGTAGTGTACACAATCAATTGTGAAGTAGCATCATAGATATGACAGTGTCATATTTGATGCTGATAAGCTCAGCAACACATTCTTACAGTATCACTCCTAGCTACACATCAACACAAAAATGTAGCATTAGGCATTGCCATGCGGGCTGATGACTGTAAGACACCAAACATGGTGTCAGCTCACTAGGTTTTGAGACAGAGCCAATATCTACAAGCAGCTCATACCTCAGGCTGTGTGTCAGAAGAAACGGAGGGTAGGAGGTCGAGCACTGCCAGCACTGCTCCAGGGTGGATGACTACAGGGTCTGAAGAGTGCTGGGATGGATTTCCCAAGTGCAGCTTTAGGTCCGTTAGGGCTTTACCAGGAGCAGAGTTGGATGAGCTGTGATAGCCATGTCTATTGGGAAAGAAAAGATCACTTAATGGCTCTTCTTAGTCTCATCACTTAGTGTCAGTGTCTGGAAAGTGTAATTCACTTATACATTTTGGCTTGGCAGTTTTATGCAGATAAAAGCTAATAGGCTGCAAAAGCTTAGAGAGATTTTTTAAAAGAAGGATTTTTTTGGTCCTTAATCTTAAACACAGCACCAAAATGTCAAAAAATATCAGCTTTGATATAATGTTAATTATGAATCAAAACTCCCAACAGAGAGCTTGAAAAGCAAAAGGACTGAAAAAAGCTGTCAGCACAACCAGAGGAGGAGAAATTTTAGCAAACGCAAAGCTTTACAGGTAAGCAAAGTAGCTCAACATGGCAGATGAAATGGTGCAGAAAAAGATGAAAATATAGACAAAGGAGAAGATCAAGGAGAGAAAAAGTGAGAGGTTGCAAAGTTGCAGACGGCAATCACTCTGATCAGAGGGAGCAGGAAATGAATAACAGTATCCTAAACAGGCCTGATGGAGGAAGTTTCCCAAGTCAAGCAATTTGTCTTTTCACACTAAATATACAGCTGTTTTAAACCAGTGACATTTCTGGGTGGGCAGGGCTACCGTAAACATCTAAACTATATCAACTAAATGTCCCGTTGTTAGTCAAGGTTTGTTAGGGGGGAAAAAAACGGAATTACACAGAAGAGATACACTTTTATTATTTGTAAAGTTGTCATAACATTTCTGAATGGAATAGTTAAGCCAAAAATGAAAAATCTGTCATTAGTTACTCGTTCTTAACATGTCGTTCTAAACCTGTATGACTTTTATTGAAAATTCGTAGTCACATCTTGTTCAGATGAATGCATAATACTAAAATTCAACCATTTTTTTTTTGTCCACATAAATAAATACTCTAATGTATTCAGGCTTCACAACATTATAATGTACAATATGAAAAACTGATGTTTACTTTGAGAGTGGCTAAAATTACATTTAACAGTATTATTAAACTATTAGTGTTTTTAAAGATTAACTTCAAGTAAGTGTTAGATGCTGTTAAAGGTAATCGAAATGAAAAAATAGGGGAAATTAGCATGCACAATTAAATATACAATATCAACATTTTCACTACAATTCAAAAGTTTGGGGTCAGTAATTTTTATCTAAAGGAATTATTACTTTTATTAGTATTTTAGCAGAGCCTTTTACATTGTTTAAAAATAAAAATATAGTAATAAAAATATATATTATTTCAAATAAATACTGTTCTACTGGACTTTCTATTCATCAGAGAATCTGGAGAAAAATGTGTCCGTTTCCACAAAAGTATTAAGCAACACAACTGTTTTCAGCATTGATAATAAATAAATGTTTCTTGAGCACCAAATTAGTATATTAGAATTATTTAATAAGAATTATAATTTTATATATAAGGATTGTGTGACACTGGAGTAATGCCAGCTTTGCCATCACAGGAATAAATAACACTTTAACACTCAAATATTTTTGAAACAGATATATATGAAATATATATTTACAGATATAATAAATGGAAATAGAAAACTTAACTTCAATTTCAATAAAAATAAATGCAGCCTTGGTGAGCATATTAAAAAATCCCAAACTTTTGAACTGTAGAGTGTATATGTACAATATGGATATATATGATAAATAAAAAACAATTCTAATAATGGCAGATAAACAATATAGTACCAATATACCCTTCAGTAAGGAAAGGTGTGAGACAAAAGTGAACAAACGAAGGAATAGAGAAAGAAACAGACTGGGGAAAAAATGGTCTGATCACTTGACGAGCACAGAACATAAAAAAAGGAAAAGACAGAGGGAGAAAAGGAAGAGGTGGCGGAAAGCGGTACCTCTTCCTGGCGATTGCTGGCGTGCCCCAAGGAGAGGGCAACGAGGTCTCGTGAGTCAAGCAGGGGGGCACCTGCTCGGCACGACTACAACGATTCAACCACACACGGACACGCAGAGTCACGACCAAACAATCAACATAAAAACAGACCAGACATTCCCACAGCCATACAAACACAAACAGCAGGTCCATACCACACACACCCCGTGTGTGCAGCCAGGCAATGCCAGAGGTTACGAGAGACAAAGAAATGAGAAAGAGCAAGAGACAGAGGCAGTTAGTTCCTGCTGAATATACAGCTCAGGGCACAGCACATAGAACTCAGAGGATCTACAGATCATGCAAATCTAACACAAACATAAGCCCAAAGCACAGCTACACTCAGATAGCATGTAAAGGCATTTGCATCTCTCTTCTGAAGGTCATGACTAATGAGAACGGTACATTGAAGGAAACTATGCTCTCAGCAGATCAGGGATGTGCATGAAGAATCAACATGTCGAGTACTCATTCTGCACCAACTACTCAGATGTAACACTCTATTCAAACTAGGCAAACCAATTTTCTTTTATGACTTTGCCTGCCATAGAAAACAATGAGAATACTTTCCCGCCGAATCCCTCATTGTTACAAATGAATATTTAGGGTGGCATTCTAGATACGCGTTTATGTTTTGAAAGGAAATGTTGTGTAATTTCAAGTGCATTCAAGTTGCAATATTTAGAACCTGATTTGTTTATTTGGTTCTTGTTAGAATCATGAATCCCAGCAGATTGGTGGAAAAAAGAATGCAAAAATAAATTACCCTGGCAGAATGCATTTTCTATTAGGCTCATGTGGCCATTTTTAATTGTTTATTTAAATAAAAACATAATATAAAAACAGAAAATAAAAATTACAAATGAAATAGTCTTTTTAGAATAGACATTGTTACATGTTAATTCCCCTGATGGCGGTAGTCTAATTTTAAAATTGGTTTCTATGTAAGCTCTGTGTGACCTCAAACACACTTTTAATTACTTTGCTTATTTTTTTTTTTTAGCTTGTTCATTTTAATTTTCAAATGTAGTTGTGGACAGTTTTTTCTTAAACCATTGTGCTCATTTATTTTGTTTTAAGAAATAGCATAGTTTGTCAAAGTTATTATTAAACTGTCATTAGTGATGCATTTGATCTTTATGTGCAAAGAGTACTCGACTATAAAGTTACTCTTTTTTTTCCTCAATAAAAGTAAACTGCTGCCTCAATCAAAAGAGGGATTTCATTTCATCTTACTGATATCACATCCAAAACACATTGATCCTTTCTATTCATTAAGAAAAGGCAACTTAATTTAACCACACCTGTCAAATGAGTCTGTGGCCATCTTGTACAGGTAGATGAACAGCTTGCTGCAGTGCTTAAGAGTGGGACAAACGTTTTCTGCAGGTATGATCTCATCCTCCAGTAACCGCTGGAATGGCTGGGCATTAGAGGGGAAGACGGTTGCTGGACCAACTTTCTTAGAATCGGAAAAACATCCCAAAAGTCGCACCGCATCGGCCAGCTTCTCGTACTGGATCTCAGTGCGAAAGAAGTGCGAGTTGGCAGGTTCATAACGCATTGCTGCTGTTAGAGTGCAGAATACGGTATGTAGAAGTTCAAAGATTTTGTTCTGGTTGACCTTCTCCCAGCCGCTGACAGGTGGAGAACA